TCGGAAAGGCACCACGGAATAGTTGCGATACTACAACGGCGTGCATTTACGATACGCGCGCACAGGCAGTCAGGCAGTCAGGCAGGCAGGCAGGCAGGCAGGCAGGCAGGCAGGCAAGCAGGCAGGCAGGCAGGCATGCCCGGAGAATTGGAACGTGGTTGCGTTAACATAATGGAATTCCGCGGAATGTTATAACCATTATATACGTATAGCGGATTACGTCACGGTGCGGCGGAGCCGACGACGTGTGCGCCCCGCGAGAGGAGAGAAAAATAATGCTGCTCGCCGGCCTGCGCGAGTCGCTCACTTTAATTTCCTAGATTGAACTCGACTGACGCGCGCGCGCGCGGAGCCGGAGTCTTACTTCGCGTGCTTTTCCGCGCGTAAACGCTCGTAATCGGCGTGTCCCCACCGCTCGCGTCGCGAGCCGCGTTAACTTCCTTCCATCATCGTCCGCGAATCTGGGAACACCGTGGGACGTGGAAATTTAGCGTGTGAGTTTCACTACGGACTCCGCTACGTCGCCGAATATCGGCCTTCCGGATGCACGTAAGGCGCGCCGAGTGAAACTGACAGTCAAAGGAATCTCCCTCCCCTCCCCTTCCATACCACCACGTCGATCGTGCGCGCATTCAGCTTCCGGTAGGATAATAATTAAACTTATTTAATTTTCCGATTAGCTCTCTCAGGAACTCGATATTCCTATGTAGAATTTTCATGTAACGTTAGATGTTCATATATTAAGACTTTTATCCTACTTATCGGATTACCTTACATAAGCAACATAAAAAACATACGGCTACCGATGTAAATTATAATATATTATACATCTGGATAAAACTGGGAGAAACCTTGAATAATGCATCAAAGTGTTTATTATCACCGACGCTGGAAATCTAGACAACAGTTTTTACAAGTGAAGCGCATGCACACACACATGATCGGTAATTTAATCGGTTAAATTTAATCAAGATCGCGAATCCACTATCCAGTCCGCACACCCAGCGTCCGTACTATCGATACAAATAAGTGATACATAATTATACCATGTGATATCGCAAAGGATAGGAGCGCGAACGTTACTGAAAGCGGCGAGAGAGAGAATATATTTCGTTAAACGGAATTAACTGTCCGGCCTAAGTCGACGGCAACCTGCCCCTCCCCCTCGTGTCCGACGGTCGTCGTGCTAGTTACAAAATGGCTTGTAGTAACTAGTCTCGCACGCTTAATAACTTGCACCGGTAGCGGACGATAAATAATGCAGGAGACACCGTCGTCCCGATGTAATTAACGAGAACAGTCGATACCCCAGGCGTGTGCGCCCGTGTGTGTACGCCCGCGTGCGCGCGTGTTTGTGTCACGTACGCGCGCGCGAGCGCGAACGAGCGCGGTCAATATTTGTCATCCGCTTTAACAAAAAGAACGTTACAAAACGCTCGGCCGGATGCACCCCGGCCAAATATTGACTGCGCTCATTGACGTTCATTGATACTCTCAATTAGCGCATACCGTCGAAGCCAATCGCCGGGTAATTGGGATGGCTCTCCACCTCCGTGTTCGCGGAAAAGCGCGCGCGGTCCTCTCTTTCCCTCCGCCTGTTGTCGTCCTCCTCCCGCCCCCCTGTCCACTTTTGCTCTCCCTCCTCTCGCATCCGCGCGACCGTAGGAACGCGAACGGTTTCGGCGCGAAAATTCGTCCCACGCACTCTCTCTCTCTCTC